TCTACGCTTCCGCTTCAGTTATTTCCGCTCAATTTCCATGTCAAAGCAATTGCATTCCAAATTAAAGTAGAGTTTAATTATCAATTATCAGTTGGTCTAATAGAATAAGATATTAGATTCTTTAAATCAGATTAGAGGTTTTAACATTGACATTTACGAATAGAACAAATTAAGTTGAGAGGGTTGCCCATACCATAATAAACCTCTGTAAAACCCAATCTAAATTAATTAGCCAATAAATCAAATATCAATGCTTAATTAAAAAAATAGAGTTTAATTGAAAGCCAAATCTTAGTTTCATTGGGCTGGGTATTATAAACATATTAATGATCCAGAACAAAGACTAAAGAAGTCTTTCAAACAGATGGAAGTTGTGTACATATGCCTCGAGATCTGCTGCTCAATGGTGGTGATTTTTCATGTTTGTTTTCTTTACATGTGATTTCAATGATAAAATAAAATGTTATGTTTTAAAAGATTATGAGTTCGAATAATTATATATTTTATTAATTAAAAAAATCTGAATTGATATTATCTTGAAATCATCGGGATTATTAAAAAACTGTTGGGTTAGGCAGCAAATTTTAGACTCTCATTTTTTAATTTTTAAATCCGCCACTCAACTCTTCCCTACTAAATTCGTTCTTTCATGCTTTTCTTTCTTTCTCTTTTCCTTTGATCTATACTTAATTGTTAGGCTAGATGAATGTTTTTCGATTTGATTAGTCCCTATTAAAGGACAAACATGTCTACTAATCCGACAAACTTAGTCTAGTTGGACAACACAATTAAGGCAACGATTCCTTTATTATTGCCTTGATAAATGTTTGTGTAAGAGCTAAAGATAGTAACCGGTGAGGTTTTTTTTTTAATTGCCAACTCTATTCAATCCAAAAAATATATACAGGCCACTTTAATTTAACATGATCCGTAAAATATATATCAATCATCCCATCCGCCCCAAAGAGCATATTTACTTTACTCAAATCTTATTCAATTGAAATTTTCAGAGTATAAATATTTGACCCGATTTGATGTAAAATAAGAACCTAACTAAAAATTATAGAAAAATGAGTATTATAGCAATTATTTATAAATTTGAATGAAAAGTAATACTATTATCTTGAGTTGGATCGAAATTCAATAATTTTAGATTAGCTTGTCATCCCTAACAAGAGCTAGTGAGAACCATGTTAAGCTGCCCTTCAACAAAGCTCCATCACTTGATTAATCCTCACTCTGTCCCCAACAAACCAATAAATTATAGTTTGATTTATTGATCAAATCCATCAAATTTTAATTATAATTGAGAAGGAATGTAATTCCCAACAATCTCTATTATGCTTAACCTGATTTGCTTGTCTTTGATTAGCAAACACGTGATTCTTCATTAACCAACACAAACCTGCTATATTCTCAATCATGTACATGAAATAATAAAACAAATGTATTGCTTGAAACTTTCTTTCAAATCACTTCACAGTTAACAAGAATCCCAGTGAAAAAGAAAATTTGATCACACAGCACTAGGAAGAATTTTATCCTATGTTCACGGAACTAGTGTGTTGAGGGACTAAATTTTTTAAACAATGTATGGAGTCCAAATTCTGATATTTACGAGCAAAATGAGTAGGGAGGATCACCCCCATAACTGACCTTTGCATAATCCAATCTATATTAGTCGGTACAAGGGATTAATTAAAAAAAAAAACTGAACCAAATGATTTTGCAAGCACTACAAACAAATAAAAGAAAGAAGCAGTGCTTGCTGCTTAAGAGGTTTCCTCGTCTTTAGGCACCCACCAGACTCTGAATGATCTGTCAAGGCCTCCACTATAGAGCATGAAACCAGCACCAACATTACACTGTGGTGATGCCTGCAAGCACTTGACTGGTCCTTCATGCCCATTTATGACCCCAACTTTACATAGTTTACCATAGGCCTCTCGTTTCCAGATACCAATGGTTTTATCAGTTGAGCCAGTGAACAAAACCTCTCCCACCATGCACATACACAAAACTGCCATCTGGTGTGCTTTTGTCTCACCTATCCATTTCCATGTAAAAGAATCATCATTCCCTTCCCAACTGGTAACGTATCCATCGGAACCTCCTCCATAGACCCAATTCACATCGTCGGAAATAATGACCATGTTCAATGAAACATCCTTATGACCCTCTAAAACCCCCAACAAAGAATGGGAGGTCTTCCCTTGTGTTCTCCAAGCCTTGGTCTTACCATCCGCTGATGCTGTGTAGACAATTCCGAGCTACAAAGCTATTGATAGCATCATCATGAGCCTTAATTGATTCCAAACACTTAAGGGTCTTGTCCCATGAACAGAATAAATCAACACTTTGTAGAATGCCAAACAAGAAATGGTGTCCGCATGCTCGATCCATAAATGCTTATGATGCCGCCGAGTTTCTACATAATTGCTTTGCTTCATGAGGTTTCCCAGGTACTCCTTTGCAGTAGGAAGTGTGTCAACAAGCTTGAACACGTTCTCTGAGCTTCTTGACACCTTCCAAGCCCTGATCCTATGGTCCTGATGTGCGGTGAAAACCTTGTTGCCGATGGCAACGACCGACTTCACTGAGCCCTCGCCTGCACCAAACTTTGTGAACTGCATCAAGTCAGGCTGTTGCCACACAATAATATCCTTGCCTTGCGACGCACTCAAGATGAATTCCCCACATAGGGCTAAGCAAGAAACTGAGCCAATATGCTAAGACAGCACCGCCACCGGTTTATATGATTCAAACCCACATAGCGGTTTGCAAGGGAAATCATTTTTGGTGAAATCTTGAATCAAAAAGTGATGAGACGGGCTGTTACAATGACTGGAACAGCGGTGAAGAGTTCGAAAAATGAGGCTCCATTGTCCAAGTAAGGCAACAGTCTCGGCCTTTCGGTTTTCCCTTCAAAGAGTGCAGTTATTGCCATAACAGAACTGATGGCAACAAACAGAACGGCAAGAAAAACTGCTATTGCAGAACTGAACCTTAATGCTTCTGCAAATTCAGCCCAATTTGACGGTCTTTACTTTCGTTTTAAAAATTGTCCCAAATTTAGGTAGTATATCCACGTACAGAAGCAACCAAGTTGCAGCATTATTATCTGTTAAAGCTTCAGTTGCAGCATTGCGTGTTTTCCAGTCTAGAGTATCAACGCAACGTAGGTTTATTGTATTGAATTTATAGAAATCATTTCTATTTGTAACATTGCGTGTTTTCTAGCTATGGAAGCAACCAAGAGAGTTCGCCTACATCGACACAGTTGGTTGCTTTCTCCCTCTTTCTTTTCTTCCTCCTCCAAGAAATAAACATAAAAAGAAGTCAATACTCATCTCCCTTCCTATATCTAATTCAAAGAAAATATATCCAAATTGCAAACATAAAGACAGAGAGTTCTTATTATATCAGTTATGGGGAACTGCTTTGGAACTCAACAAGTTGATCACCATATCCAGTCCACCATAAAGTCATCAACCCCAAGTACGTTCAGATTTCTCCCTACTTTCACTTTAATCTGTGATTGATTACACACATATATATGCAGAATCCACGAAGAAACTAAAAGACAGCAAACAAAATGGATCACTGCCGGTGCCGGCACCGAAAACAAACAAAGAGAGCTGTGGCGCTGAAGGAAGAAACAAGGAGGGAGGAAAGGTGGCCGTGCCCGAAAGCGGAAAGATTCTGATGAGCACCACCATGAAAATATTCACTTTGGCAGAACTCGAGGCTGCCACCAGAAATTTCAAGCCGGCGACTGTGCTAGGTGAGAGCGGTTTCGGTAGAGTTTTCAAAGGTTGGGTCGATGAGAAAACCTATGCTCCTTCAAAAGTTGGCGTTGGCATGGCGGTCGCCGTCAAGAAATCAAATCCCGATAGCTCCCAAGGCTTGCGAGAATGGCAGGTATTTCTCTTCTTTTTCTTTTTAAAGAAAATTTGCTTCCTTAGCAAATTAAATTAATTTAAGGAAATATATTTCATTTTATCTACCCTTAATAATAACGTTTGGAGGGGTTAAAATATTAAAAAAAAATATTATCAAAATGACTATTTAGTCAAGTTTTATATACCTTTTTGTTATAAAATATAATATTGGGAGTTAAAATAAAAATTAAAGTAACTACTTAATCAAAAATTTAAGAGATTTTTTAATATTACGTATTTTAAAGAATTTATAATTCAATTTGAAATCGAGGAGATTTGAGGTATGAAAATGATGTTGATTTTGACAGGCAGAGGTGAAATTTTTGGGCAAGTTCAGCCATCCAAACCTAGCCGTCAAGAAATCAAATCCCGATAGCTCCCAAGGCTTGCGAGAATGGCAGGTATTTCTCTTCTTTTTCTTTTTAAAGAAAATTTGCTTCCTTAGCAAATTAAATTAATTTAAGGAAATATATTTCATTTTATCTACCCTTAATAATAACGTTTGGAGGGGTTAAAATATTAAAAAAAATATTATCAAAATGACTATTTAGTCAAGTTTTATATACCTTTTTGTTATAAAATATAATATTGGGAGTTAAAATAAAAATTAAAGTAACTACTTAATCAAAAGTTTAAGAGATTTTTTAATATTACGTATTTTAAAGAATTTATAATTCAATTTGGAATCGAGAAGATTTGAGGTATGAAAATGATGTTGATTTTGACAGGCAGAGGTGAAATTTTTGGGCAAGTTCAGCCATCCAAACCTAGTAAAGTTGTTGGGATACTGTAGGGAGGAGAACCAGTTCCTTATTGTCTACGAATACATGCGAAAGGGCAGCCTGGAAAACCACCTCTTCAAATGTAACTCATTTTCTCTATCTTTTATTTTGAGATATTGCATAAACTTAAAGCTGTTTTTTTTATATACAAAACTCAAATTGCAGCAGGAGGAGCAGAGCCTCATACATGGGGAACGCGGCTTAAAATAGCCATGGTGGCTTTGAATTTACCCCATCCAATAAAATATTGGAGGCTTGGGCAGGCCCCATGGCTATTTTAAGCCGCGTTCCCCATGTATGAGGCTCTGCTCCTCCTGCTGCAATTTGAGTTTTGTATATAAAAAAACAGCTTTAAGTTTCTGCAATATCTCAAAATAAAAGACAGAGAAAATGAGTTATATCTGAAGAGGTGGTTTTCCAGGCTGCCCTTTCGCATGTATTCGTAGACAATGAGGAACTGGTTCTCCTCCCTACAGTATCCCAACAACTTTACTAGGTTTGGATGGCTGAACTTGCCCAGAAATTTCACCTCTGCCTGTCAAAATCAACATCATTTTCATACCTCAAATCTCCTCGATTCCAAATTGAATTATAAATTCTTTAAAATACGTAATATTAAAAAATCTCTTAAACTTTTGATTAAGTAGTTACTTTAATTTTTATTCTTCTTTTAAGGTGTTTTAACTCCCAATATTACATTTTATAACAAAAAGGTATATAAAACTTGACTAAATAGTCATTTTGACCATATTTTTTTAATATTTTAACCCCCTCCAAACGTTATTATTAAGGGTAGATAAAATGAAATATATTTCCTTAAATTAATTTAATTTGCTAAGGAAGCAAATTTTCTTTAAAAAGAAAAAGAAGAGAAATACCTGCCATTCTCGCAAGCCTTGGGAGTTATCGGGATTTGATTTCTTGACGGCGACCGCCATGCCAACGCCAACTTTTGAAGGAGCATAGGTTTTCTCATCGACCCAACCTTTGAAAACTCTACCGAAACCGCTCTCACCTAGCACAGTCGCCGGCTTGAAATTTCTGGTGGCAGCCTCGAGTTCTGCCAAAGTGAATAATTTCATGGTGGTGCTCATCAGAATCTTTCCGCTTTCGGGCACGGCCACCTTTCCTCCCTCCTTGTTTCTTCCTTCAGCGCCACAGCTCTCTTTGTTTGTTTTCGGTGCCGGCACCGGCAGTGATCCATTTTGTTTGCTGTCTTTTAGTTTCTTCGTGGACTGGATATGGTGATCAACTTGTTGAGTTCCAAAGCAGTTCCCCATAAGTGATATAATAAGAACTCTTTGTCTTTATGTTTGCAATTTGGATATATTTTCTTTGAATTAGATATAGGAAGGGAGATGAGTATTGACTTCTTTTTATGTTTATTTCTTGGAGGAGGAAGAAAAGAAAGAGGGAGGAAGCAACCAACTGTGTCGATGTGGGTTGAACTGGGCTGCAAAAATAATTGAAGTTTTTGTTGTATAAATTAACTAAGCTGGAAAACACGCAATGCTATAAATAGAAATGATTTCTATAAATTCAATACATTAAACCCTACGTTGATACTCTAGGCTGGAAAACACGCTGTAACTGGAAAACACGTTGATACATTAAACGCTTTAACAGATAATAAAGCTTAGCTAATTAAACATGGTCTCATCATTCACCCATCCCATTATTCTGGCAGTACTTTGAGATATTGCAATAAAGACTTCTACGTATGAGTAATCATCACATTAGTTCATGGTTGAGCCATTTTTCCCCAAACAATTTTAAATAATCTCGATTATTTTTATATACAATTAATCATCACATTAATTTAATTTAACTCTTTGCGTAAGATTCTCTCATTTATAACATAAAATATTACGCCAACAGAAGAAATATAAAAGGATTTTTGACAACTGTAAATAAGTTTAAGACATTCAAATTATCAAAGGAAATCAAAGATAAAATCTCATTGTTATGAAGATCAACATCTTTATTATCGATGATTGAATTGTAACGTCAATTTATAACTATGATAATAGATATAAGTAAAATAATAATTAATTACCACTCATTAAAAATAATAAAGATTTACAAAGAAAGATGTAACATACACTATACTCGTAAATAATTTTATACCTCAAATTTAGAGAAATTATTCATTATAAGTAAATTCATGTGTTAGGTACAAAGTCTTATGAATTTGTGACCCGAATTTTTTAATCCAGTTTAAAAAGCTACTCGTTTAATAGCAGAAATAAATTCGAAGAGAAATAGAGAACCTATAAGATTATACTTTTTTTGGTTAAATTTTGACTGAAAATAAGAATTCATATTAAAGAAGACTAGCTGTAATATTAGATTTCTTGCTCTTTAAGTTGAGGGACCTAAATGAAAGCTTTTGAAAAGTTTAGTGACCATTATTATACTTTACCCTAATAATAATTATGATTATTGTAAATCAAAAGACGTTTTATAATTCATATGAGAAATTATAATCGCAGACCCTATTATAATTTTGTCATGATAATAAATTTCTCTCTTTTATCTATACTTATTTTCCTTTTAGTATTTTTCACATAAAATCTTGATTTTTTTTAATCTTGTTCCCTTACATCGTTTACTTATTATTTTATAATAATATACATAATCACTACAAGGGGGAAATTTCACACATATTTATGAAAATGAGAGAATAAAAGCCTAAGACATACAGACATTTGAAGAAGAGGTGATAACCCTCGTTTTGCTATCAAGATAATTTCGGCTTCTTAATTAAATAGAAAGGAAAAGGTAGTATAGAGAAGTAGGGTCGATCCACAGAAATTGTGATTTTTGTGATTTAGTAAAACAGTTTCTTTATTTTAGGAAACAATAGAATTTCAGGTAAAATTAAAAAGATTTAATTAAAAAAAGATAATAATAAATAAAAAGAAAATAATAAAATAATAAATATTAATAATAATAAATAAAAATGGGTTTTAAATTGTTTAAAGAAGTATGATCAAATAAACAATTAAATAAACAATTAAATAAAATAACTAAATTGGGATAAAGAAAACTTATTATGAAAGCAGCCTTAGACTTCAACTTCGCCTCAAATTCCTCGGATCATCGAAACATGTTTTTACTTCAAGATTCATGTCATCTTACAAGGACAATTCTTCGCTGCCAAATCGGATTTTGTCGTTTCAATAATAACTGATTCCGATCTCAGTTTCCTTTTAACAAATAATTTTACTAAGTGTGTTCTAGGAAAGTTGAATATACGTGTCACATGGGTTGGTCAACAAAAAAAGAAAGAAAGAAATAAAGAAAAGTAATAAGAAAAGGGGAAAGCTTTGGGTTCCCGCATGGAACTGTAAATTTCATATATATTACTATAAAAAGAACTAAACCTAGAAATGGATTGTCATATTGGAAGGACAAATAAAAAAAAATATCAATTATGATGGTTACTTGCAACATTTGTATTGAATTGTCAAATCAAATTAATGGTATGTTTTTATTTATGTATGTGTGTATCATCTTAAGGTATGGTATGTAGGGACGGAGTCATGTTTTAGGTGAGAGGGACAATGGCTCCCAATTTTCATGATATAATTATATTTTAAGCCATTGATAGTTCTGAAATCATTATAATTAAGCTCTTGTCTTTTCAAAATTTTAGACAATGTCAATTTTAAAATTAATGAAATTAAATTTTGACCCCAAATTTGTCTAGTTTAATTACATTTTAAGACCTTTAAATTTTAAAATTAATAAAATTAAATCCTTAATCACTTAATTTTTATGATTTTATTATATTTAGATCTTATTTATTTTAAAAATAAACTTGTCCCCTCATAATTTAATCTTTACTCTGTCCCTCACGGTATGTTTACAAAAGTATAGCTTTCACCCTCTAATATAATAAGTGGAACGTGTCGCAACTGACAACGTACAAGTTGAAATTTGATAACCCAAAGCCGAAGCAGTGGTGCTGTTGGTACACCTGTTTTCTACCCCAAGAGTCTGGCTGATTATTTGGGCTTGGGAAGGCTGCATACTTTCCACTCTCTGCCAAAACATTGGCTGCTTCAATTCACGTTCCTGTTAATCCACAAGGCAATATTTAAGCAGCAACTTCCGTAAACAAACCTAACTTAAACCTATTCAACTATGTCTGTGTTATGCTTGAACGCCACATAGAAAATATGCAAATCTTGCATAAGTACAGTTAGTGTAGTTTAACAATATTTTGGGACATATATACATCTGCCTCTATATACACACATGGTATATGGTATTGGAAAACACGAGTAAATGTAATGAAGGAAGGAATGGGAGTGAAACACGATAAATATTCAATGCAATTCCATTCATGTTCACGTGGTGAATAGGCAGTAGGCATGAGAAGTGAGTTGGAACTGATTAGCGAGTTATGCAGTTGGATGGTTTGTACAAGTATCTGCTGCCGCAGGAAGAATACCTTTGTCTTCATCATCTTCTTCGCCATTCTTCTTATAATTGTATTGCTCAACTCCAACTTCAATGTGTTCTTCACCTTCCCTTACAGATATTATCCCACAACAACGAAAGCTGCAGGTGCATCAGAAAATATACCCTATTGTTGTGTGTGTCTATATGAAGCCGGAGAAGGGGAGAGGCTCCGGTGGCTGCCTCGATGCAACCACTGCTTCCATGTTGATTGCATCGATGGGTGGTTACAGTATGGATCCACTTGCCCTCTTTGCAGGACCGAGGTTTCGATTGCCTCCGGCCGTCAACACAATCAACTTCTTTCCTTTTTGCTCAACCTTTGTAGCAAAATTCATCACTAGGACATTGTTATTTTTTTAGCAAGCCAGTTCCAGCTTCATTTAATTCTCCCAAGTCCCTTTCTTTTTCCCTTTTTATGGATCAAATGTTGCTGGAAACTGCAGTGTTAAACTTTTATATGCAACAGAATAGAACAGCTTGTGACAACATGGGGTGTACATCTATGAATTATTTGCCCAAAAATTGTAAGTTTCATCATAAAACAAAGGAATAATAAATGCATATTTATGAGGGTGAAAGAGGAGCTGAGATAATGCAGAAATAGCAAATGGTAGGCTGATGAATAATTCATATTTGTGTTGGCTTTACTATTCAAAGACAATTAATTTGTTCCAACTACCCAATGTTAATGCTGTGGTCGGTAACCGACAAGTGTTTCTTCTTCTTTTGAATTGTTTTTTGTGCTTCAGCCTCAACCACCCCAACATCTGAATGATAGTTTTTGGTCAGTTATTTTAGTGGCTTCATTTTAATCAGCTAACTATTTTTTTTCAAAATGATACTTAAGCTTATGATTTTGTTCCGTTTTGATTACCCATCGTCAAAAATAAAAAAAACTATTGATGTGGTAATTTTTTTATTTTTTCGATGATGATGTGTCATTACCTTATGATGACACATTAACATCATCATTTATTTTTTAACGATAGGTGAACAAAATGGAACCAAAACATAAGTTTATGTATGATTATGAAAAATATATATATATATGGGTAACCAAAATAAATCTGCGAGAATAGATGAATGACAAAATAGGCAGTTTATCAATGATAGACTTTGAGCTTTGACGTGAGAATTGAGGACAACTTAATTACCTTACAAGGATAAGGTTTAGAGAGAATTAATTTGCCCTCACACTTTGTTTCTAATGACTTATCAAGCTTTCACATTCATCTTCATAGAATACAAATACATGATGACACTTTTATTGTGACATTTGCCGTTGATTTTGTTCAAATATTTTACTATACTGAAATTATGTATATATTTGTTGATTGAAATGATTACTGTTATTAAATTTGTGGTGAAACATATTACAAGATTAAAAATTAGGAAACATGATGTTGAACTTAAGGGAGTAATTGTTGAGTGTACTTGTTTGTATTGTTGTCTAAATATTAAAAAGAATGAATCAAATATTGTTCTTTCTTTTCAATTTTTTGTTTATTATGTTCTTTCAAACTCACAAATGATCCACCATGCGTGGATTGCCATAATTGTTATGGAAGACGACTTTCTGTCTCCTTTTCCTCTGCATAGGGATTGTGTAGGGACTGTTTTTTAAGTAAATAAAAACAGTTTTCAACGTGCTTTTCTGATTCTCTTTTAGCAGCTGTATTGCTCCAACCATCATATGCTTCTGTGTTGTGATTTGTGTCCCTCTTTGATTTTTGGTTATGTTGTTGTAGGAAGGACAAACCAAGTTCATCCTTCCCAGAGAATGACCAAAATGTTGAGATATCAATTAGAG